CCATGTTGCGTGCTTCAGGAGTAGTAGTCCCACTATAGGATGGAAAAGATTGGCAGGGATCCTTACATCAAATTCAGCGGCAAAAGCTAGAGAAGCACGGATTGAATGGACGCTCTGACTGAAGAATGCAAGCAACTTGACAACGTACACCAACGTATGCTGTCCCGCATCCCAAACTTGAACAGAAGCAAAACGCCGAGCTGCACTCATGTCGTGTTCGCTCGGTACCCGCACCGTGGAGAGAGCCTCAATATACCTTGGTTGCCCGGAACTTTGTTATTGCCTCCTAGTCAGGATCAACCTCTTGAAACGTTCGCGAAGCTTAATGTTAAATCCCGCAAGGATCACGGCGGGCCATCCAACGTAACGCTGGCCATTGTAGACCATGGGTGGGTCAAAGAAGGCCAGATGGATTCAAGCAAATCGTCACGCCACATGTTGATCAGATGCTGAGGGTTACTACGAGCCTCAGCGCCGCAGCCATCCACAGTTTCGCTTCCTGAAAGCCTTCGGACGGACTTCAATACCTTGAGCCCCCAAGCCAGATGTTGTAAAACCCAGAAACCCCAGTCTTGATCGCCTTCTTGCCATTCTATCCCCAGAATAAGAAGGCTAGAGTCCTCGTGCTGTTCTAAAAGGGATCAAGGTCGCCAGGTCACAAGAATTTGGGCGGCGGACTGGGATGGGCAATATGAAGTAAAGGCACCTGTGTGAGAGGGACAGAATCTTGTGCAGCTAGAGCTCAGATCGCATCCCCACACAAAATATTGGTTCTTGGTGGGGAATGTGGGAATATATAATTGTATAGGGATCAAAAACGCATGATCACATGGTATATGACTTCTATTTTCACATTTTTTCATATTCCCTACTAAGAACCAGTAAGTACAATTCCCCCTATGGGTTGCCTATCAACCTGTGAAAATCATGGAAGGCATGGGAGGGACACAGTAAAGCCGAAACCCTAAAACCTTAAACCCTAAATCCTAAACCCCCAAAAAATCATGGAAGGTCTGGAAGGGGCACCCTGAACCCAAAACCCTAAATCCTTAAAACCCTCAATCCTAAACCCCCCCAAAAATCATGGAAGGCCTGGAAGGGGCACAGTTTGCCACCTCACACTACGAGTCCCATGCAAAGCAAGGTCTGTTCCTGGAGTTGCTTCTTGACAGTCTTAAGTAGTACTGTTATTGGGAGTATATCGGGCTTATATAGGGGAATGGAAAAGACAATGCAAACTACTGTTTATGTCACCCCCCCCTTAATGGAGAATCACACGGACAAGGAAACGGACAACAACATTGAAACTGGGGTTATAGAGTGGTTTAGAGACATCAGGATTTGCCAGAAGAGATACCTCATGTCTTTTTGGTGAAAGTTGTACCAGGGTTTGTGCATGGGGTGCACCAAAACCCTAAAGACTAAACCAAAGGGGTGTCGAATTCCAGGCTGCTAGAGAAGCTTTGAAGATGTTGGTAAGGTTTGTAGTGATCCATAGTATAACAGGGTATCTGTGGAGGATATATAGGGATAATGGAAAATGAAATAGAAAGTACTATTAATGGTTTAGGGTTTGGGTTTAGGTGGTATGGGTGCAGCTCTGGTGTTTCAGATTTTGAGAAAGCACAGGGTTGAGGTTAACAACATACAGGCAGGTTCCAGGGTTCGGCATTTATTCCGATGTAAAAAGAGGATCTGTTTGAATTGTAAGATGTAGCGACAGGCCTACACCTGTAATGCTCAAGCCCACTTCCAGCTTCAATGCTCATAGGATCTGAGTACGTGGGTCTCGCCAAAATGCGGTGCCATGGCAGAACCACGGGGCTACGGCTCGGCATGCGTTGCCCTTGTAAATCAGCTGCATGCCATGATCCCTAGGCCAAGTGGTCTTTGAACATCTCCCCCAAATCAGTCCCCAAAACTGCCTGCTGCCCCATGTCCAAAGAATTGGAACTGAAGAACACTCAGCGATGAATGGTCAACACAACTGCGAATACCCTTATCTTCGGACACCCCTTGCCCTCCCCAGTTCACGGAGCTTAGGCTTAGGGATCTCTCCGACCAGCCGCTGGTTTTTCTCAGCGAGTCGCCAAGTTGCACTTTCGGCGAAAGGTTTACAGGGTTCAAGGGCGTGAGGGTGAGGGTACTTTTTTGTCTGCCACCTAGGTCTTCAGGGAATCTGCAGGGGTCTGGAAGTAAGGGCTCGTGTTTAGTGATGCATGTTTGGGGTTCCGATTTGAAGCATCTGGAGATCATAGCAGGCGTCAGTAAAATTGGCGAAAGGGGGTTTGTATGCTTGCTTACAGATTGAGGCATTCCGCTGGCAATGCCCTTAGTTCTGTAGGGGATGTGTAGACTGATAGGGGTAGTATTGCCCAGATAGTGGAGAATCACGTGAAAGAAAACAGGAATGACATGGAAACTGGTGGTACCTTCAATTTGCAAGGTCCTCCGCTCCTTCACATGGTCCCTCCGTGTTGTGAAGCTTGCCTATGATGATCTGTCACGCAGTGCGTTCAGCAATCCGGCTACAATGGCATGATGCGTGTCAACGTCATCTGCAACAGCTTGTGTGAGCATTCTTCATGCCAGAAAACCATGATTGCTTGACAGCATCCCTCTAACAGCCGGATGTGCGGGGTTGCACTGCTTGTAGCTCGCCCGCATTGTTCTCGCAGCCCCCATAATGCAGAAGTCTGAAGTGGCACAATGGTTTCAATGGATATGCTCATCCCAAGAGCCCCTCTGATTAGTGTTGCTACTGCCATAGAACCGTTTTGCGATGCGACCCGGGGGGAGGTGGGGAACTTAATTTGAACTAAGCAAGTGAAGGCATAACACAGGCAACACGCCAGGGATTCCCTCTTCACTGCTTCAGCACCAGCAAGTATTTACTGGCTGTTTGTAGGGAATGTGGGAATGCACTCCCGATATAATCCCTATATACTCCCTATATAGCGTTTATCCATATTCCCTCCTAACAGACAGTAAGCATAGCAGGCTGGCCGAGAATTCGCGTGAATCCTGCCCATCGCGCTGCTTCGCAAGAGCAGTGGCCCCGCCTGCTTCAATTTTTAGTTTTTGGGTTACTAATTCAAGTTACCATACTATGGGTATATAGGGTTTAGGGCTTAAGTTACCTTAATACGGGTATGGACGTATATCAAAGAGTTTCCTGCTGCCAGCTTGTAGTAACGTTGTATTGAGTTCCTGAACAGCAAGTCAGTTGGGGTTTGGCAGGCTCGCAGTTAGGAGTCCTTCCTTGTTGGTGAAAACATCTGGAACGTTTTGTTTGGAGGTTTGAGGGGCCGGGGATTTTCCCCTGAGGATGTTGAGAGACCAAAGAAAACGCAGAATGCTTATCTGTACCGCACGCAGCAAGTGCAAAAGCTTGGCTGGACCACAAGCAGGCCACAAGATGTGTGAGACAGATCTTAAACATCAACCTTCAGGAAGCTCTGACGTAACTTTCGAGAATGGCCATGTAGATGCACCCAACATACTAAAGCTAAAGAGGCTTGCCGCACCGCCACACTTGTACTGCAGCCCCACTGCTGCATGCTTTTTTTTTTGCATCATCCCATGATGCTCTGGCATTCCTACTTACATTCCGCAGGTGGGCAAGCCCGTGAGGAATAGCTATGGAAGGACAGATGTAGCTTTCCGGTTTCCTGCTTGCATGAACCCAGGTAGCTTTCTGTGCTGACATAGATTGATCAGCAGTCTCCTCCCTACCAATATGCAGGGTAGAGGCGCCTTGCTGCGGTTTCGTTGGTTAACCACTTTTTGCCAACGCCCGGTAGCTTGTAGACTCAGATATTCGCAAACATCAAATGAGCGCTTGCGGGCATCTCAACCCAACTCCACCCTGAAGCCATACAAAGTACGACCCTGAAGCCATACAAAGTACGAGGTGTGGGGTTTCACACAGCTTCACGCGCACGCTTTGGATCACCTGGTGAACCACGAGGAAGTGGCCATCTACAAGGAGGCCCCTGCCTCGATGCCACACCTACCTCTTGTGCAATCCTATGACATCCTACGACGGTGACCCTGGGTGGGGTTTACTGGCCAGGGCTTTCAGATGGGATGAAGATGCAACTTTCGAACCTTTCCTGAGTCTTCAAAATCGAAAGGCCGCCGCTAATATCCCCCATCCTGAAACTGCAAGGCCATGCTGCATTGGAAGCGCGCCAGCCCCATGCTGCGGAAGGCCTTGCTCACCGACGCCCGGGTCAAAAACCTGTCAGATAATCAGTTAGGATTTCTCTTGGAATTGGGATGGTCCGCGATGGCCAGGGCAAAATAGAGCCCCTATCCCCTAACTACAATCAGAATACGGATGCTGTCAGCGTAAGGGGAAGAAGACACAGAATATACCCAAATATATTGTAGTAGTTTCCGTTATATTTTCCCATTATCCCAACATAACCCCAATGTACTATAGGAGTTTCCTTTTATCTTCCATTATCCCTAAGGAGCAATTTGTAGCGCGTCCTGGGGTCCGCCTGGGACCGGAATCTGCCAAAGCCGTGTCCACCACCTCGAGGCCCTTCCTCCGGTTCCTTGGCCTCAGATTTTGCTGGCTTGAGTTTAGAGCCTAGAGGCTTGCGGAGTAAGACGGAACTTGGGAGTTTTAGTTAAGGTGTTTTCTGCTGATGTTTTTGCATGTTTAATTGTGGCGGCTTCGGGGGATACGTTACAGTTTGAGATTTTGACTTACAAGTGTTTGTCAGTTTGGTACGGCTTCTATGACAAACAGGAAGTTGAGGGACTTTACTGATAACTGCAACGTAGTAGGGGTTCCACACATTCACCATCCTACTTCCAATGTGTCCTGTTTTATTGTACTCACAATTAGGAAGCACTAGGGTGATTCTGGCAACTTGATGCGCCCAACGAAGCTGCAAGACCTTTGCTTGGGAGATGGATCACTTGACCCCGCTCGCATCCTGCCGAAACCCAATGAAGTTTGATGGGGCGCTCGTTGGCTGATGCAGGCTTCTGCTCATTCAGCGCGTGAAGTCCCGGAGACTTGAGGACTTGGATGCCACGCGGCTTTTCAGTTGTAGCAGCCTGCGAAACAAATCAGCGTGGACAACTGGAGCTTGTGCGACATGGGGCTGCAACTGCCACAACGTTTACTAAAGGAGGGTGCCTGTGCAATCGATGCTGCTCCTTTCCGGGGCATTCTAGACGAACAGCCTGACGTCACATCTTTCTACACCCACATCCTAATCCTATCTGATCCCAACATCCAACTGCAGTTACGCTCCTGAAGGGTTTCAACACTTCCATCCATCCCCATATTGCTGCATGTGCAGGGCCTGGTCAAGATCCTTGAAGAAGAGATTCTGGGCTACAACCTCCTGCCCCGCGTTGCCATCGTGGCGGAGAATGGGATGCTTTGCAGAGATTACCAGACTGGACCTGCATGCTTACAGCGCAATCTGCAAGACTACAGGGTGGTGGAATGGGGCTTTACGTCATGATCTGATATAGGCATTCGTTTGCTTGCGCCTCTGGGCTGTTTGACTTATACTTGCGCATAGCTTGAGGACGTCATCGTGGCAGCAGCTGCCTGCAATGGATCAGATTGCGTTGGCACGCCAGGCAGGCAAGTCTGTGCGGAGTGTTTGCAGGTAGCTGCCCAGAAAGGCTTGCATTCTGGGAATTAGGAAGATTTGCTATTGGTACAAGTCAAAACACTTGTCGGGCGACATCAAGGACTTGCGAAGCCTGTACAAGAGGCTCGCACAGACAGGTTGAGAGGAAGTTCTCCAACCTCTTCTTAACTATCAGACTGTCCAGCAAAACCTTCGTGCACACTTTGGTCTTCTGAGCCATACATAGCTAACACTTGATTGGCAGATTCTCAGTCAAGGTAGACGGCTTGAAAAGCTGTGGCGAAGCACCTCAAGCCAGAAGTAAATCTCTTCAGTCTGCACTCATTCCCAGTTTCCATTATAGGGCCCTAACACGCTATATATATATATATAACCCATTATAGTAGTTTCCATTTTCTTTTCCATTATCCCTATATGGTAGTTTCCCAAAACAGGGGGACCCAAAATAGACCCCCAAATACTATAGTCCTTATTATGGGGACCCCCAAAAAGGTACCACTAATTTTGGGAAACTACACCCTAAACCCTAAACCCAAAACCACCCCGATAATCCCCTATATATATCTTGCCAAAGGCTGACATCATGGTAGGCCCCAGTGGCAACGAGCTGGGCCTTGCGGCCTTCATGCGCGAGGCCCTTGCTGTCGAGGTGAGTCGTAATTTATTTGGGGATACTATGGTACTTAGGGTTTAGGGTTCAGGGTTTAGGGTTTAGGATGTAGGGTTGGGTAGTATTTTATTTGGGGCTACTATGGTACCCAATATAGAGTAAGATTATATCCTCCTTTTGGGGTATAGTATTTATATAAGGGATATAATGTTACTAGGTTCAACCACCAAAAACACATTACTCATCTGTAGGCTACAGTGTCGGTCTGTATTTCGGGCATTTCGGCCATGCTGCCGTCTCTGAAGTCTGCCTCGCACACTAAGCCAACAGTCAAGCCTGAGGAACATCTTACCAGCTTCGTGCAAGCCTTGAGAGAAGCCCACAGCCACAACACCTGCTCAGATGCAACGCTGTCTCTCTGTCCTTCTCCCTTCCCTGGCTCCTTGTCTCCCCATCCAGGACATTCCCTTTCTCCAGCTCCATCTCCCTCTCCCTCTACTCACATCTCTCTCTCTCTTTCTTTCCCTGTCTGTCTGACTGCCTCTGTCTCTCTATATCCCTCTCTTCCACAGCTCTTTCTCAACTCCACCCAGCAGCGTCCTGATTTCACATGGACCCAGAGCGGGGTCACTTAATTATTAGCAACTGTCCAACTGAGAGGCATGGTCAATGTTACTGGTATATGCCAAGACAAGTTGTAAAGATGAGAAGATGCACATAGCTGTTTGTGTTCTCAAAACCCCTCCGCCTCAGCCCTGAGCCCTGAGAAGTCCCCTCATTAAGCATCTATGAATACAGATGCCACCCAGCCATAACATGTTTATGAGCAAAGGCTTACCTCGCACACTCTCAATGCAGCGTCGTATCTCACGGAAGTCATGAAGCCAGATGTCCCTGTTTGGGTTCAGGAATTTTGAAACCTCAGTACCAGCCCTGTAACGCGTGGCAAACTCCCTGAAGTCCACTTGGCTCGTGGAGCTCATGCCGCAAGCGGTGAAGGATCCACTGAAGAGGTGGAGTCCCACAGGGCGCTACGAGGCATTCCCAGTGTCGCAACTTCTGCTACCCTTGTACATATTATTGCCCTGCTGTTTGCCTTGATAGTTGTTACTGCGATGTGCTACTCCTCCTGCCACTGCAATGGCTGCCGCTGCTACGTCATGCTTGTAAAGGCTTCGGCAAGAAGGTTCAGCGAGTGGTGTCTGTAGATAAAGGGTAATTTGAGTGCACCCTGCTGACGAGCAGCAATGTGGGTGGTGAGAGTCGTCTTCACAGTGCACAACGGCTTTCCAAAGGGGAGCATCCCATTGATCATGGAGATTTGTGGGAACACCTTCCCCTACGTACACAAAATTCACGCAGTGCCTTTAGTGCCATTTTTTCTTTGCCTCATATTGAAGTTCAACAACTAGGGCAAGGAAGAATTGCGGTGGAGCTGTCGGGTGCAGCAGGCACCGGCGGGTTCGAGGTAGTGAGCACGCATTCCCCCATGTTCTGACACCTTCCGACCCGGCTAAGCACACTGCCACTGCAATAACATCGTCCCGGTCCATCTTACCTCACCGCATGGAAGATCGGAAGCAAACAGCCCGAGCCTTTTTCCTCCACCTCGCACCTTCAGACCTGGACGGAAAACATTCCCTGAGGTCACGAACTGCATGGAAAGGATCAATGGCAACCCTGGCAGTCTGGTTGGTCACGTGGCGCTTCGTGCTCAAGTCTATCACCTTTGCATGAACGTAAATAGAGGCGGGCTCTGGGTTCTGGGATTCTGCCTAAAGCCTCATGAAGCCAGCGGTCTTCCAGAGTATTGGTGTGCATTGTTTTGGATGCTTGGACAGAGCATCTTCAATTCGACCTTCAAGGGTACCCATCCGACCCATGCCTTGTTTCTATGCAACGAGTGACGACAGTTGTCGAAATACCCCCGAATGATATACTACGATATACTACTGCCCTATCAATCTTAGTAGATCTGAGCATGGATCAGACAAGAATCTTGCTATGGGCATCCTCCAAGAGTAGACGTTGATTGAGCATGGTCCTAGTCGAAAGCATCGATCACGTAGAAGCACCTAGTCAGTCATGAGCCTTCCTTTGGCCTGGCCACTAATATGGATTTCGGTCAAGTACTTTTCCTACTTTTGGCATTCCAAGTTTCCCTTGGCAGGTCGCTTCTTCGAAGTGCAAGAGCTGCAGCATCCACACTGGCGCGCCACTCCCAGCCTCTATATTGAGACCTGACATATAGCAGCTTCTCAACTTGCCGGTGCCCTCAGGTCTGTCAAAGATCTTTTGGTGTGTACATACATATGAATAGAAGTGATTGGAGTGCAGGGATAGCAGTTTCTCAAGAAGGGGTATCTTTAGGGGCTCTAGCGGTACATGAGGTGGGGTTGCTATGAGGCATTATGAAGTTTGGATTTCCTGCACAGGCCTCGATGGCTTCGCGAAGCCAGTATAACACATGACCGCACGCTTGCAAGAAGATCTGTCTAGACCTGACCGTTATGACAAATCACCAGCTACAGGTAGTTCAGGTGAAGCTGCCCCTGATCCACCACCACCTACCAGAGGTGGTTCTAAGATGAATTTGGGCATATAAGCATGCATTTGTCAAGTTGGCACATCCCGATTCTCATCCCGCATTCCGGCAATCGCGCATAATTAACTCATATAGCATTTCTAGCTGTGACGGCTTCAGTTTTCCAAGATCCTTTCCGAAGCCACTGAGGACTTCAGAGCTTTGAGGGAGGTGTTGGCCTTGCCGCTGAGTGTGATTCAGGAAGACTGGAAGGCGGAAAAAGCGGGCACCTGCTGGGGGCTGGAGTTCAGAGAAGTGTTGGGGAATTGAAGCCACCCTATGCCTGAGCCCTAAATAACCCACATGCATGCCCGAACAGGTGTCCTATGTAAGGAAGTATACTATCACGGGGAGGGAAGGGGGAGTCGGAGCCATCAAGGCTCGTAGAATACCACCCTCGGTAGAAGACCTTGAAACCGGATTCTTCGTTTTCATGCTGAGGTATGTGGAAGCCGTTCTTGAGCTTTCTTTTTTTCTTCACCAAGCTTTGTAACAAACCTCCTCGGCCCTGTGATGAGCTTGAGACCTGTGCTAGGGGTGAGGATCCTTTTCGCAGCCCGCTGAAATTCGGGACAGAACATACCTTTCATAATGGAAGGGCTTAGGCAAATGATCTGCGATGTCCCGGGGTGGATACCTCAAGAAATTTGCAGCGCCGCAGCCTTTAAAACATAATATGAGTACGCGCAAGGCCGAGAGTTCAACAACCCATTGGCGAGTCTGACAGGGCCCCAAGCCGGGCGCATCCAGTCTTGGGTCCGGATTGAAGTCGAGAGTCTACAAGCTCACCTAAACCTCAGTGAGCTATCCAATAGCAGTTTTGCACAAATCGGATCTAGGTACAGCAGGCGCAGAAGATTTAGGCATTCCGTCGGTGTCGCCTCATGTCGTTCGCAGCTGCAGCAATTGCTGCCTCCAACAGCACGCTTGGCAGAAATGACTCCATGTCCCTGGGAGAACCTAGTCTTACTTGAGACTCGAAGACCCAGAGACGGTCCAAGGTGCGTAGTAACGATCTGTCATTTTGATTTGTAAGCGCATCTTTTTTGTGTTGAGCCTCTTGGCTCTCCAACATAGAATTCAAGGATGCATGCTTTGGGCACAGGTCTTAGGAAGCATGCGCAAATAGCGGTGGCGTATGTGATGCAGCCCTGCCATTTGGTTGCTAGAAGTCCTAGGCACCGTGACAATTGTCTCTCCTTGATAGGGTTTTCAGCTTGGTGCCTCTGAGGCTTGCGAGGGGCAAGGACATCTACCTTAAAGTCGTAGTGGGACCACCCATGACTTGCCAGTATCTTATCATGGTTGTTGCAGGGAATGGATAAACTCATGCCCGAGGATATGCCAAAAATGCCCTGGGTTTGGGTGTGCGACCAGCGTGCTCCGGGGCAGCCGAGATGCTATGACGCAAGCAGAGTGATAGCGAATAGTGCTTATTCAGTATCAGTGTGACCAGGATTGCCTGAAGGCCGCTGCTTCTACTGGCTGGTGCGAGGGTTACTGCAACCACTTTTCTTCTTGCTCTTCCACATCCTGTTCTGCTGCACCGAATCAACGTTAGGAGATGTTAGGAGTATGATCCAGTATGATTGTTCTCTTAACTTGCTACAATGGGTGTCATGCTTTAGCTGTCCAAGGGTTTGCAAGCACGCTTGCAGGTTTTGACGGCCTCAACTACCGGCTTCTCAAAATGAGACGGGGTTTCCTGATGGCGTACATGTGGGACAATGCCCGGATAGCACCGAATGCGGACCTTTTTTGTGCTACCTGTCCACCTGTTGACCTCAGGGAAGCTGCCAGTCCCCAAATATTTCCAGCACGGCAACGAACACGCTGGGAAGCTGCTGGGCAGAATTCTGTGAGGCTTGTGTTTCCGGCAGCATGTCCACCAGTGAAACCATGACGACATGGTCCAGGGAACACGCACTGCGTTTTGCAGAACATTATTGAATTGCAAACCCTACACCCAAGAATGCATTGACCAAACTTGTGACCGAGCTGCCTTATGCCAGCGTGCACCTCAGTCCAGGTTGACATGGGAAAGCACGAAGAGATGGCTTAGTCGAGGCCTGCAGCTGGTGCGTGGGCTTTGCTGCGTCACATGTGGGTGCATTCATTACGTGCTACGCCTTTATGCCTCAAAATAAAGGAGCCTTGAGCTTATCCGACTGGCAGAGTATTATGCCTTCCTGTTTGCCCGCAGGGCTTGGGCTGAAGTAGCAGGGTGGGAGCTCCTTCACATTTCCATACTTTATTCAATTCCCACGTTCCAGGCCACGGAGGCTGGTGTAAACTGGATACTAGTTGCAGAAGATCTCTGTGCCACTCGGCCAGGTGTCGAGCGACAGGCACGGCTGACACTGCGAATTCTGATCTCAGCGGAATTTCCATAGGAAACAACTGCCATGGGCCCATCCAGAGTTGTCACTGGCAGGAGTCTATGACCCGTAAGCCTTAAGCTAGTCTGTAGGCCAGCTCTGCAGGTTACCTCCATTTGGATAGCAGTCGAAAAGCCTGGACATGCCGAGTGGTCCCTTGATGAGGCTGGGTTTTGGGTGTTGGGATATTTTTGTTCCGGGCTGAGGCTTTGGGGTACTCCTTTCGTTAAGATGGTTAGTGAGGAACGGCTCCCTTATCTAGGGACCTCTACGGCTTATGATGGCTTCAGGTCGTTATGGCCAGAAAACTGAATCCGCCTCAGGCTGTCTCCTTGCTTTCGGAATCCAGTCCCTGGGCCCTGGGTCGAGTGTAGGGACCTACACGACAGCAATCATGCGCCAGGAAAGTCCTCATTAAAGTATCTTGGACCCCATCAGCTTTCAGATCGGACTCTCCGGATGGACATTACCTTGAACCCCCACCCCTACTCACAAAACACCCTCAGGAGAGGCTAAGAATACCAGAAGCAGGATGTCCTCACAATTGCGCGTACTGCTTTTAGGCTCAGATAGTCCCATTCGTTTTCATATTAGGGCCTCCAAACTTGACTTACCTTCGCGCGGACGAATAGTTTGTTTGCCTCAAATTTTGGCTTTGGAGCCACAACCACCGCAATCATGCTCGAAAGCTTGAATTCCACCTCTTCAGGTCCGGACTAACATAAGCTGGAGCCAAAACTTCCAAACCATAACGGAGATACGAGCTAAACGTCAGTACATACTGCATTTTCCAGACTTCAAGTCAGCGCCCTACACACCTGTGCATCGGACCTCTCTTGAGGAACTCTGCAACCAAAGGTGCCTACGCAGCTAGATATCTCTCCCTTCAAAGATGGCACACTGGTTGTGGTGTGCTGCGGCAACGAGTCCCTGCCCCTTGGGATTTTCAAAAGTTAGACCCTGCAAGGTTCTTCAAGCTTGCTATTACAGAAGGTTCTGCACCTTTGTGTTATTCTTATATGTCCTTGTGTCTGCTTGCTGTGCGCCAGTGCTTGTCACGTTAGCCACCGCGAACAATTCGACCGCTCAATGTCAGAAAGCATTGAAGCCCTTCAACCTTGCAGCTGTTTATGCAGTGGGTCGATCCATGCCTTTGCTTTGGGCAAGAAACCTCAGGGGGACCAGACCGCAGGATCATGCCGCGACATTTTGAGGGGAGGTTTCCGTTCTCTGCTCAATTCACAGGCATCCGCAAATTGCAGCAAGATGCTCAGACGTTCGGAAACGGGGGTTGGGGCTGAAGGCTATTGGACCGATGGCGGTGGGGACGTAAACACCGCCTCGCAATGAGGGGGAGAATCGCAAGCAACTCATCCAGTTATGGTTTCGTGAGTTTCGTGGCCACGCGAGCATGCCGAATCACCACTACCGTGCCCTGCATACCGTAAATCCTGCACATGCTTTAGGCCGCTTCTACTCCGCAGCTGGATCTAAACCCACAAGATGGAAGTTTCCCTAAATTAGGATACCCCAACATAGACACCCAAATACTATAGTCCTTATTATAAGGACCCGCAAAAAGGTACCCCCAATTTTGGGAAACCCCCATATTGACTCAAGGAACCCCAACCTGGTCGCGCTGCTGCCTGCGCCGGCAAGGTTGCGGACGCGACTCAGCGATGCCGCCCGGGGCCCAGGGCAAAGCTTGCTGAACGCGTGCTTCACGAAGTACTTGGGCCCCAACAGTAAGTAAACTAGCCCAACAGCCCTTAAAAGAGCCCATAAGGCCAGTATTCTGCATTTTTGGGGGTTCAGGTCGGGCTCATTTGTAACGGCTCGAACAGAAAGGATGTCATGCCAAATGTGTCATGACTACTGTCCTCCTTAATGCAAGGAGTCGGGCAGTGTGAGCGGTAAGGATTAATGATTAATGAGTTGTCTTTTGAAATGCTGACTATGAGCCTTAGATAGTGTCTTCTGCACAGGCTGCCTCCCTGAAAATGTGGAAGTCTGCGAAGTCACGTATGCCACTGGGCTGGATGTGTTAGCTTGGGGATGTAGGATTTTCGAAACTGCGCACTGAAGCTTCAATCTCAACGCAACTAGCCCTGACCTACAAGAGCCAAACCGTGAGCCCCAGAATCATCATCCCAGTTTCCATTTGATGTTCACTTTTCTTTTCCATTTGGTTCTCCTCTATTGGGTCAAGATCTCGTCACCCAAAATACATAAATGCGCAAAGAACAACTATATATCTAGATATATACACGCAATCCCTATACAACCTCTATGGCTTGTCGTCCCCATCCATACACTATGCCTATCTCATCCCGCGAAACTCCTACATCCCAATGGAAGGTGCCCAGCCAAAAATACATTAATGAGTAAGATAACAGAGAAATTAATATACATATATATATATATACATACATATACATACATGTACATACATATACATGTCTATAGATATGGTCACCCCCCCTGCATCCCCATGGAAAGTGCCCTCCCAAATTCAGGATGGCCACGATGGCCTTGAGCCGAGCTGCCTCCGTCTTCAGCAAGCGGAACTCCGACCCTTGGTTATATAGGGTTATATAGGGGCTATCTAGGGTTATATAGGTTATGTACGGGTCATATAGGGGATTATAATAAGGGTTATAAAGGGGCTATATAGGGATAATGGAAAAGAAAATGGAAGCTGCATGAAGCTGCTATATTATAATAGATGAGGTGTTTGGGTTTCGTTTGGAACCCCAAGCCCTGAGCTGTGTATGATAGTCAGGACTTGAACTTTCAAGTCTTAGCTATGCGAGACACACCGGCCAGGGGTTGGGAAACTGATGCTTTGGATGTGGGTGTTCTGGGCGCTCCTTGCAGCAGGTCGGTTCGCTTTAGTTCGGCCAGTGAGGATTCGAAGCCGTGGGCTTTCGAACTTGAGAACCAAACGTTGCTGCAAGCCTTGAAGAAGCCCGGGCTTTCGCACAAAAATGTTTCGAGGTTTGTACAGACAGGTCTGCGGCACGACCCCCTGTTTCGCAACCTCTCATGGACAGCATGTTTCGAATTTTGAGTTTAAAACAGTTTTTACCAACATTCAATAGTTGACTAGTGTTATGTCCACCGCGGTTCTTGGCATGTTTGGATGGTCCTTTTAGGGGGCAGAAATCCCAATCCCCGCGGGCGCTGCTAATGCACTACTGTCTGTGGTGCTGACCCTAGCAGTGCTTGAGAGATCTTGAAAGTAAACATGCCGAGGATCAGAGCGACGAATCGTCACTTTGGACACGCCGCTCGGATGGTGAGAAGCGCGGGCTTCACGCCAGATACATATCCCCCCCACCCTCTCATAGAATCTTTCGAAGAGGTCCCCCAAACGTGACACGTAGTGGCAGTCTGCCACATCGGGCCATCTAAAGCAGGCTCAGCTGCACTTAGCACTCATTCTCAGGATTGCAAAAGAAGAAAAAAGTCGCACCCAGAGCGCAAGCAAAGTCTAACGGGTCCTTGCTCCCAAAGAGGGAGTTAGCTCAAATTTTGCGAGCAAACAGAGCAAGGTAGGGCTAAGACAACCGTTGGTTCACAAGCACGGCAGTGGGATGGCACGCACTCATCTTTCTATTTTGCTGCTTGCAAGGATGGTCAGAACCAGATGGGTACAATTCTTTGCTGTGCACGTGAAGTACAGAAGGTAGGTTCTGTTGTTGCCTGGACATCGTCACATCTTCGATTAGTATGTAGGCCTTGCTGTAACATGCCGCTGGCTCACAAGGGTCTGCAAAGCCCAGCAGGCGTACTATTCGACGGACGATGTCTGCTGTCCCGTCAATCATGTGTTCCACTTCACTGTGCGAGTTGCATGTTGAAATTGCACGTGGGCACTTTTGGCTTGTCTTCACCACCTGCATAGCCGAGGAGAGACGCAGTCCGACCTCCAGGCTATGCGGGAGCGGTCGGCGCAGGAGAACTCGGGGGTCGGCTCCGTCACCTTGCAGCTGGGCCGCAAGCGAGGGGCTGCTCCAGGGAAGTTTCTTCCTATGACCAGATTTGTCCAAGGGGTATACCACAATGGAGTGTCTTTATCCTGAGGTTCCTACGTGAGGGATCCATAGGGACCCGCTTACTTTCGGGTTGTGTGTACTTAAAGTGTAGGGCCTCACCAAGGAAATCGGCCATCAAGAAGGATGCGAGCAAGAAGAAGCTCCGATTCGATATCGAAGGCCCTGGGGGCTCCTGACAGTCACGAGAGCTATACGGTCAATATCTGGGTACTTGTAAGGATCGTGGTGGCACCGAAACCCCTCCCCCCTAAAGAGTACACTTCCTGTCAGAAGACCCATCAACCAATGGACGTATAACCATAACTCTCAGGCGCTGCCATATCCTGAATACTCAGGCAGTGCACTCACATTGCAGGGATATAGCCCAAAAGCAGCTGCGCCTGGGGCATACAAGGAGTACTGTGACCAGTTTGCAAGACAGCTTCTGTGCATGCCGGGACGATGACATGTCATTTTCTTCACAAATGCGTGAGCTTGAAAGAAGATAGGGATGCTCTTGGATACCGACGAGCGTTGGCATCCTCAATATATCATTCCGACAATCAGTCTGCAAACTTAGGATGCTTGCTGTGCGTAGTTCTGACTGCCACCCAGATTTGTCCATCATCCCACGTGGTTCATGGCTGCTTTGAAAGGTGGCGAGGATGCGCAGCAGCATGTCATGGAAATCCTGCCGCCGGTCAGCCGCTCGCCCAAACTGGCTCAAGGTGAGGTTGCAAGTGGAGTGGTGGCGGGGGTGGTGGTGAGGAAGCGGGCAGCCCGCGCAGCAGAAAGAGAAAGGGGATGTTTATCGGCATCCTGAGCAGGAAGACAAGTAATTTGCGGTTCTGGAGCGAGTTTCGCAGGAGGATGGCATTAGCTGTGTATGTGCTGCAGAAGGCAAGGGGCCGAAAACTTGGCCTAGGACAGAGCTTTAGAGAGGTGCAAATGAGGCCGTTTCATCCACCGCTACCTTCAGCTTTTGCAAAGCTACCGTGATATCCTGCCGAGGTGCTGACACGCAGGCGGCGGATTTCAACAAACCCAAGACGCCACGGCTTCTGCCTCTTGGCTCAGTGGGCTAGAGCAATTTTAATTTGTAAACTTACCTGGCTAGTGTTGAGCGGAGATCCAGCAGCTCGCTCTCATAGGGTCGAGCAGTTCACTGCACTCTGAGGCCTGTAACGCCTTAGGAGTCTCCGATG